GAGAAAAATGGAAAAATTGAATCAGATTGAAAATTAGAATTGGATATGAATGGCAACTGTGATAAATAATTGTGTTTGTGTATTTTTATATAGTGCGCGAGTGTGTTTATATAGTGCAGGAGTGTGAAGTATAGTGTTTTAAAATAATCAAAAACTATTTAGAAGTACAGAAGACAGACGACTGAAAATAAATGGAATTGGATACATCTCAGAAAGAGAAATGAAATAAAAATGGAAATGGTTAAATGCTGATATCAACTTATAGTGATGTGTTGTGAATTATTAATAGTGTGCGAGGGTTGAAGTACTCGTATATAGTGCGGGCCAAGTTATACAAGTGTTAGTGCGAGTGTGTGGGTACGAAATATTTAATAATTTCCTTTACAGATCAACAGTTTGCAATGATTGCACCGAAAAGTCAATACAAAGTCAATTGTTTGAAATAGTCATATTGCACGTTGTTATTTTTCGTTTTTGAATGCGAAAACAAGAAGATCTTCCATCCGAGGACTAAGATGAGATGAGGCGTTCTTTTGATATAAGGCAATATTTCAAAAAGAAGTTGAGGGGTGAGTTACAATTACAATAAATATTTTGTGGCAATAATATTACCCCTTTTCATATATATTTTTAATGTTGGCAGCTAGCCGAAGAAGTAAATGTCAGATCCGTCCACGCCGTGCGTCGATCCTGAGTCTCGGCTCTGCTATCTTTCCGCCTTTGTGGGTCAGGGCCTGATGTGTATACCCATCAAGGAATGGTTCTACCCTCGCAAAGCTGGAAAGAAAACTGAGGTAAATGTTATAAGAATCAATTTATTAAAACAAAATTGTTTATATTTATTTATTTTGTTAATGTTACCTGCAGCTGAAGAAAAGGCCGATTTGAGCAGTTCCATCCACGCTGAACTCCATCCTGACGTATCCAGCTTCTCAGCGAGACTCCAAGCCTTTGAGATCAGGGCTCGATGTATACCTAATATGAATGGGCTGCTGTCTCCAGGGAAATGAACAGCCGCTAAGATGCTGAGGTTAGTGTTGGCTATAATCAAAATTAATTATATTCTGCTCGCAATACTATTAAATATGCACTCATAAATATGTATATAATTATTTACAGGAGCTGGATGATGACATCATGTCCTTAGATATGAAGATGAGGTTTCAAGTATAGAGGGCAAGAGGCATAACAATAAAAAAGTACAGATTATAAATTTTAATTGTTTTAATATTTTTGTTTGTTTTTTCTAGTTTTTCAAAAGAACTTCTATGCTAGGAAGACGAGTTAGTTGTAATCGAGGAGGTCACATTCAACAGAGCAAATAAATTGATCAACAAATCTTAGAATGAGATTCAGAATCCAGAAGACAATCTTAATCGAATGAAATGAATATGGGGAATGGGAAAATTGAAGATAAAAGTTATTTAAATTGAAAGCAAACATGGACCAGCCAGTTTTCACGGGAAACGAATAAAATGGTGTCAGAATCTACACATTACATATCACATTTTCAATATATCAACTTCTGTGCAGTGTTCATAATTACTAACGCGCGAGTAAAGTTGCAATATAGTGCGAGTGTTGAATTATAGTGTGGGAGTGAAAATCGAATTTCATCAGTTTTTACACTTGCATACATACACACATACAGCCACACTTTTGCCTTGTTCATGATCATTGACGGGGTTCTTGGTATTGGTGTGTTTCTGCTAATATCTTTACCTACATTTTAACACACCACAACACATACACATTATCATAAATAACATATATATTAGTGCAGTGCAGTGAAGTGAGTGAGTAGTGTTCAAATATAATATACAAAATCCCAGAAGAAGGATAATAGATATTGAAACTAGGAATTTCATCATCAACTGAAAATGGAAATGAATAAATCTCAGAAAGAGAAATGGAATGAGAATAGAAATTATGAAATGCTGATGTCAACAGAATGTGCAAAAGTGTTGTGTATTGCAGTGCGCGAGTTTGAATTATAGTGCAGTGTTGTTTTCATAGTGCGGGAGTGAAATTCAAATTGTTTAGTTACAATTACATACATTCTCACACACACACATACACATTTACACTTTTTGCCCTGTTCATGATCATTGTCAGGGTTCTTGGGTATTGGTGTGCTTCGGCATATCTTACTTTACATTTTAACACAATCACCAACAAATAATACACATTATCATAAATAACATATAGGTATATTAGTGCAGTGCAGTGAAGTGAGTGAGTAGTGTTTAAATATAAGTGTGCGCATTATTATTTTTCAGTGTTACTGTTTAACAACTGTTCAGGACGCAGAAAACAAAAGACAAACCCCCAGCAGGAGGATAATATATATTGGCACTAGGAATTTCATCATCAACTGAAAATGGAAATGAATAAATCTCAGAATGAGAAATGAAATGAGATTGGAAATGAAATGCTGATGCAGTGAAGTGATGTGTTGTGTATTATAGTGCGCGAGTGTTGAATTGTATGGTGCGTTTAGTTAAGCAAGTGTTAGTGCGGGAGTGCGCAAGTGTTGCAATATAGTGCGGGAGTGCTGAGATATTTAATAATTTCTTTACAGATGCATCAACAGTTTATACGTATTTTTAACTGCACGAAAATTAATAGTCATTGAATTAATTGTCATGTTGCACGTTGTTGTTTTGCTTTTGAATGCGAAACAAGAAGATTCTTCCATCCTGAGGACCAAGATGAGATGACGCATTCTATTTAAATAAGGCACATTTCATAAGAAGTTGAAGTGAGTAACAATAACAATTAATTTTTGGTTTCAATAATATTTAATTTTATTTATTTTTACTGTTAACAGAAGCCGAAGAAGATGATGTTATCCGTCCCCGCCGAGGTCGATCCTGAAGGTCCCAAATCAGCCAGCTTTCCAGCTGCCCCTAAGGGTCAGGGCCTGATGTGTATACCCATCAAGGAATGGGTTCCTACCCTCAGAAAGCCGGAAAGAAACTGAGGTAAATGTTTTTAATTTATTAATACAAAAGTGTTTATTTATTTATTTTGTTAATGTTATCTGTAGCTGGAGAAAAGGTGCGGAGCAGTTCCATCCACGCCGCGGTCGATCCTGACGTATCCAGCTTCTCAGCGAGAACAAGCCTTTGGGGTCAGGGCTCGATGTGTATACCCATCAAGGAATGAGCTGCTGCCTCCAGGGGAATGAACAGCCGCCAAGATGCTGAGGTGAGTGTCATTACAATCAAAATTAATTACATTCTGCTCAAAATATTATTTTATCTTAATTATAGAATTTAAATAATATTTTAATATTATACATGATTTGAATTATTAGTCTGATGTTAAATAGATTACGTACTCATAAATATTTATATAATTATTTACAGGAGCTGGATGATGACATCATTTCCTTAGAGATGAAGATGAGGTTTCAAGTATAGAGGGCAAGGGGCATAAACATGTACACAAATTATGAATTTTAATTGCTTTAATATTTTTGTTTGTTTTTCTTAGTTTTTCCAAAAGAACTTCAATGCTAGAAGACGAATTATTGTAATCGATTTCAGAATCCAGAAGACGATCTTAAATCGAATGAAATAAATATGGGAATGGGAAAATTGAAGAAAAAAGTTATTTAAATGGAAAAGCAAACCATGGACCAGCCAGTATTATTGGGAAACGAATAAAATGGTAAACAAAATCTACTTTAATTTCAACTGAACTTCGTAGAATCAATCAGGCAACTATCAGTTAACAGTCATATACAGAATCAAGAATTCAACGAAACTATGAATCAAGAATTCAAACAAAACTACGTTAAAACTTCAAGTTAGAATCAACAGCAAATTGAGAAGAGCAAGAAATCAATTTGGAAATTGGAATGAACATGAATAACAACAACAACTGTGATAAATAATAGTGTTTGTGTGTTTTTATATAGTGCGCGAGTGCTGAATTATAGTGCGCGAGTGTTGTTTCATAGTGCGGGAGTGAAATTCAAATTACTTTAGTTAACAATTACATACACACATTTTACACTTTTTACCCTGTTCATGATCATTGTCAGGGTTCTTGGGTATTGGTGTGCTTCGGCATATCTTACCTTACATTTTAACACAATCACCAACACATAATACACATTATCATAAATATCATATATATTAGTGCAGTGCAGTGCAGTGCAGTGAAGTGAGTGAGTAGTGTTCAAATATAAGTGCGCGCATCATTATTTTTCAGTGTCACTGTTTAACAACTGTTCAGGACGCAGAAAACAGAAGACAAACCCCAGAAGAAGGATAACAGATATTGGAACTAGGAATTTCATCATCAACTGAAAATGGAAATGAATAAATCTCAGAATGAGAAATGAAATGAGAATGGAAATTCTGAAATGCTGATGTCAACAGAATGTGCAGTGCAGTGAATTGTTGTGTATTATATTGTATGGTGCGTTTAGTTAAGCAAGGGTTAGTGCGGGAGTGCGCAAGTGTTGCAATATAGTGCGGGAGTTCTGAGATATTTAATAATTTCTTTACAGATGCATCAACAGTTTATACACATTTTTTAACTGCACGAAAAGTCATAGTCATTGAATTAATTGTCATGTTGCACGTTGTTGTTTTGCTTTTGAATGCGAAACAAGAAGATCCTTCTATCCTGAGGGCCAAAGAGAGATGACGCGTTCTATTTAAATAAGGCACATTTCATAAGAAGTTGAAGTGAGTAACGATAACAATTAATTTTTGGTTTCAATAATATTTAATTTTATTTATTTTTTCTGTTAACAGAAGCCGAAGAAGATGATGTTATCCGTCCCCGTCGAGGTCGATCCTGAAGGTCCCAAATCAGTCAGCTTTCTAGCTACCCTGAAGGGTCAGGGCCTGATGTGTATACCCATCAAGGAATGGGTTCCTACCCTCGCAAAGCTAAAAGAAACTGAGGTAAATGTTATAAGAATAAATTTATTTACAAAATTGTTTATTTACTTATTTTGTTAATGTTATCTGTAGCTGGAGAGCAGGTGCGGAGCAGTTGCATCCACGCCGCGGTCGATCCTGACGTATCCAGCTTCTCAGCGAGAACAAGCCTTTGGGGGTCAGGGCTCGATGTGTATACCCATCCAGGAATGGGCTGCTGCCTCTAGGGGTATAAACAGCCGCCAAGATGCTGAGGTAAGGATTTTTACAATCAAATTTTGCTTACAATATTATTAATTCATTAAATATTTTTATTCATAGAAGCTGGGTTACAACATTTCTTGCCAATGTCGGGATTTAACTAATAGAGGACATGCGACAACAACAACTATCCAGCACCAAAAAATTTATTGTTATAATTTTTTTAATTGCTTTGATGTTTTTTGTTTTAGTTTTGCCAAAAGAACTTGAAAGTTAAGAAGACGAAACATTATAATGGAAGATGTCATATTCTATAGAGAACATAAAATTGATCTACAAATGTCAGAATGAGATAACGCAAGGTTGTGTTTCATGTGTTCACGAGCAGTTCGTAGTGTAGTGTAGTGTAGTCATAGCAAGCGCGTAGTCGTAGGTTGTAGTTGTAGCTGTAGTCGTAATCTAGAAGTAGTGTAGTGGACTGCAAAATGAACACTGAGATACAATCGTTGCAAATGTAACTGACTGCGTTTATTCAGAGATGTGAAGATGCAGATCGACAGTAATTGTTCCGGAACGACCTGCAAGTTAACTTCATTTATTCAATTTATACATCTATGAAAATATTTTTATTTAAATCAGAAATGGATGTTGCAAAACGACTCTTGATAAAACCATTACAAATCTGGTTATAAAACTATTGTTTATTTCAATTAAAATATGTTTACTGTTTTAGGAAGAAACACTCAACTCTTGCCACCGTCGACGTGTACCAATAGAGACCCGGGGCAAAGAAGCAACATTTTGTTTTGATATCACGATTTTTAAATAAATAAAATCGAGACATTATTACAATACAACATAATTGTTATTATATAAACACTTCGCCTTTCCGCATCAAGAAACATACAATCCTTTGGGGTGGTTGCTGCGTGCGTAATCACCTCATCCTCATCATAATTATAAATTTTAATTTGCTACATAAATTGTATTCTTGTTTAGCAAAGGACTAATTCTTGCTTGCTGTCTGGATTTTGCACCTGACCCCGACATCGTAGGAGAAATATTCTCGTATCAGATTGTAAGCATTGAATTTCTTTATCATATTCAGAAATAATTTTTGTGATTAAATTATTAATTAGCAACAAAAATTGCATTCTTATTTTTCGTGGTACATATAAACTACAATACAATAAAATTGCTGTAGAATTAAACTTTTTGTGCTTGCCAATCAGGCTACACAACAGAAAAATAACTGGTTCGGGAGAAAGGCTGTACGGACTTACAGTTTTCTACAAAAATTGAGTATATTGATCCCTTGCCACTAGATGGCGCTAGTGGTTTAAGTCTGTATGCAACTTTCTGCTGCCTCATTATTTCGCTTGTCAATAGATAGCGCTACACGCGTTTTTTACAAGTTTATTTTCGTCCGTAATTTATTTCCAATCAGTCTTATTTTGTGCGTCGTTCGTACGTTCGACGTTCGCCGGTTTTAAAGTTCGTTTCTCATTGGGTGATCACAGTCGCAGTTCACAAAGTTTCTTTTTTAATTCGGTAATAGTATTGCAATATCGCGAGTCATTTGCTACCGCTGGTTTATACGCATCTTGAATATATTATCCAAGTGATTTTCGCGCATTCTTTTCAAACCTTTTTATGCGATTTCGCACACGGAATGTCACTGAACAAGTTTTCTAGTCGCATTCCCTGAGTCCTGAGTTGATTATTCTGCATGAAACATTATTTGTTGCAAATAGTGCCCGTTTTCTTGGAGCGTGCGCGCAGTATTATCGCGTATTATCATGCCGCGTTGCTGACTGCGCTGCGCGGTATGCTCAGCGCCACTCAGCGCAGCTATGAGCAGGTCGTTGGTTGACTCGGGCGTGTTTCTCGCGGTTGTTATCATTTTATTTTGAGTTTGTAATTTGCTTGCTCGCGTTGCAACAAAAATTGTATTATTGACAATACTTTATGGTGTTTCAAAGGCAGCGGCGTAGCGTTCCTTGTCGGGGCCCCGTATAAAAATTTTTTTGGAGGCCCTTATATGGAGGTAAAGGTTTTTCCTTACACACTTTAGGGGCCCCCGTGGCCCGGGGGCCCCGTATAATTGATACGGCAAATACGGCGGTAGCTACGCCCCTGTTCAAAGGCCTAATTTTTGCTTGTTTTAGGTGTTTTGCACGTGAACTCGACATCGGAGGAAAACTATTCTTTCATCAGATTGTAAGTATTAAATTTCTTTATCATTTTCATAAATAATATTGGTGATTAGCTTATTAATTAACAACAAAAATTGCATTTTTGTGTTTCGAAGAACTAATTTTTGCTTGTTTTAGGTGTTTTGAACCTGAACCCGATGTCATAGGAAAACCATTCTTGTATCAGATTGTAAGTATTAAATTTCTTTATCATTTTCATAAATAACATTGGTGGTTAGCTTATTAATTAATAACAAAACTTGCATTTTTGTGTTTCGAAGGACTAATTTTCGCTTGTTTTAGGTGTTTTGAACCTGAACCCGACGTCATAGGAGAACCTGATTCTTTCTTTGATCAGATTGTAAGAATTAAATTTCTTTATCATTTTCATAAATAACTTTGGTGATTAGCTTATTAATTAATAACAAAAATTGCATTTTTGTGTTTCGAAGGACTAATTTTCGCTTGTTTTAGGTGTTTTGAACCTGAACCCGACGTCATAGGAGAACCATTCTTTATCAGATTGTAAGTATTAAGTTTCTTTACAATTTTCATTAATAATTTTGGTATTTAACTTATTAATTAGCAACAAAAATTGCATTTTTGTGTTTCGAAGGACTAATTTTCGCTTGTTTTAGGTGTTTTGAACCTGAACCCGACATCATAGGAAAACCATTCTTGTATCAGATTGTAAGTATTAAATTTCTTTATAATTTTCTTTAATAATTTTGCTGATTAGTTTGTTTATGATCAACCAAAATTACATTTTTGAGTTTCGAAGGACTCATTTTTCCTTGTTTTAGGTGTTTTAAACCTGAACCCCACATCGAAGGAGAACCATTCTTATATCAGATTGTACGTAATAAATGTCTTTATGAATTTCATAAATAACTTTGCTGATTAGTTTACTTATTAGCAACTAAAATCGCATTTTTGTGTTTCGAAGGATTAATTTGCGCAGCATAGTCTGCGCTGCCATTTGAACAGTACCGAGCCGGTTGGCAGCTTCGAGTGCGTCCGGTGTCCGCACGTTAAAGTCAGTCGGTGATACGCTGTTGTGAGGAGTGTACGTGTTATTTTTCTCCGTCGATCTTCATCGCGACTGTTAGCAATTCTGTTGTTTATACGGTACAAGCATTAGAATCGTGTGCCATCGGATTGGATTTACTGGTCAACATTATTCAATTGTTAATTTGTGAAGATAAATCACGCGTTTTCTCTGTGGGGTATTGTTGCCAGTGCAAAAGTACTACTTTATGCGCTTTGGTACTTCATAAACCGAACAACAAAGAAGTATGTAACATCAGGTACAAAATTTCTTCTGTTAAATTATACATATACATTTGGATTGATTTTATGATACATGTAAGAATACTGTTCTGTAAATAAAGGATAATTTAATTTTAATTTCTCGTCCACATTTAACCCTTGGTGTTTACTTATCGTTTTCAGTATGAGTTATATATAAGACGTGTTTAACACTAAGTATAACGGTATATATAAATTATTTATAAAGGTGTAATATTGTAAATATATATAGCAGAAACAAGTAACGTTTGATAAGAGAGCCGCGTGGCTCAGTGGAACGTAGGATATGCTACATTACCTGGGGTCGTAGGTTCGATCCCCAGTTCAGGTGTGCGCGTTTTTCTCAAATATAAAAATAACAGGTGTAATTTGGGTTGCATATGTAAACTCAAATGAAATATAAGAGAAATTGGAATACAAGCGAACGCAGTAAGAGAAATAAAAAAGTAGTGGAGAAACGGAGAACAGAGAAATGGGAGAAGTAGAAGTAGTAGGAATAGCCAGAGAAGAGTAGAAGACAAGAAGGAAGAGAAACAGAGTAGAGAAGAGGAGGAGATAGAAGAAAGAGGACAGGAGTGGATGAGATTTTTAAATTTTTTGGCACGTGTCGTTATAAGACAGTCTACGGTCACTGCTTCGATCCGTCCTTTGCTCCCGGCCCAACCTACAGCTACGATGTCTCTGCGCTTCATCCCCGGAATTATCAGGCATATCAACAATTTTTATGGTGGGGGATCATCCCCAGAGAGAGGGAACTCCTTATAAGGACATCCTTTTAAGAACTTGTAAAAATATTTCCAATTTTTAAGTCGCCTCACGAGAGGGGACACTTAAAAATATTCTTACAAGTTCTTACCTGTAGCTGAAATGAAAGATGGAGTACACAAATCATAAAGGATACCTTAACAATTTTTATAGTGGAGATCATCCCCTGAGAGAGGAAACTCCTTATAAGAACATGTAAAAATATTTCTAAGTTTTAAGTCGTCTCGAGAGAGTCGACACTTAAAAATATTCTTACAAATTATGACCTGTACCTGCAATGATAGAAGGGGTGCACGAATAATTCCACTCACAACCTCTTTTAACATTTCTTTATTAACATATTTAATAACAGAATGTAAAATACATACAAATTTCAGGCCGCCATCTTGAAGTAAGTCTTACGACCTGCGTTTCACATATGCACATAAGTACCAAATTATAAACACCAACATACTACATGATTATGAAATAGCAATTAAATACAGGAAAACTAATGTACAGGGTGTTAAAAAAGAAAACCAATGATTAAAAAAAGAATTACAACAAGAATTACATTACAACAATAAATTTCCCCACATTAACAATTATGTTAAGGAAAAGTGATATACTGGGCGATACAGAAAGAAAATATAAAGTTCAAAATAGAAAACACCCGGACAACTAACTTGGTCAGTGACAGATTATAAATGAAGAAAAACGAGTATACAGGGTGATACAAAAGGAAAATTACTAGATTTAAAAATAAAATCCTGTGATCAAGAGGAAAAGACTTGGAAAAAACAAATGTAGTCAAGTACTGATTGGAAATCATGGGAAATAAATATACAGGGTGATACATAAAGAACATTTAAACTTTTAAAAATAAAATCCCACGGTCAAGCGGAAAATATACAAAAAGATAAATTTTTATAAATCTTTGTTGATCAAGAAAATTCCATATACAGGATGTTACAAAAAGGAAAATGAGACTACGTATTTTAAAAAAAAATCGCAAAAAATAATCAACAAAATGAACAACTACAAAATTTTACAAGTTTCCCAACGAATATCAAAGGAAAGTGAAAAGAAGGCAACACAACAGAAATACAACTATCAACTACTAATACATTCCAAAGGGGAGAAAATATCTAAGAAAAGTAAAAGTAGAGATGGTAGGATAATGATATATATAATTTTTTTTATAACAATAAAACACCATAAGGAATTTTATTGCATATTGAGATTTTCTTTGCCATGCCAACCATAGAAAAGTGCTGACCAACGGCATGATACTCGATTTGCGGTAAGATATGGAAATCGTTTTTAAACGCGTCAACGCGATTACAGTATTTTGAATGCAAAAGAACAATCAGAGCTGAGAATAACGGTGAAAACCACATTCTCAGGCAAGATCGAAAACGCAACCGACGGCATGCGACAATTTTGACTTACGACTATTACGGTACTCTCTTACACGCGACTAAAGACATCAATGTGAAAATGATGTAATGATATTTAACAACTTACCGAGGCAAAGGGTAATCAAAGGAAGCACTGAAACAGAAAAAACACGTGTGTTAGATTACGAACTGTGCTGCGCCGCTCTATTAAGTCTACACGTCGGATAATGTCTTGTATCATACGCAATATTTTAACCGACAAACGCACAAATATAAATCCATCGTTTCACGCACAAATCATTATAAGCATAACACTAAATAGTCTATTATCATTACGTGTCGGTTTTTATGTCGATAATTAACGTTAAAGTGCAATTTATAGAATTGAAATGAAAGAAAGGCGAAAAGTGGCGTGCAAATAAGAACAAACTGAAACGCTCGAATGCTCGTCGCACGACCGCAGCGTGGAACTGGTTCAAAGCGATAAGAAAGTTGTTTATATACAAACACCAACACACGCGTAGAGCGGAAGATGAAACATTCAGGTATGTCTGTGTAATACAATTTATATAATACTGAAAATACATAAAATCGGGCGTGCAAAAAACCCGAAGAAACAAGCAATTCACGAAAAAGGGTTGTAACATTATCCTTAAATGCAAATTTTCACGGGTTGCAGGTAGAATTCCTGTAAGATTTAAATAACACCCGACGGAGAACTTAATTCCGCATCTCTAGACGCCCCGATGAAGTTACTACGCCGCCTATATCGCGCGCAAACCCAAAAAACACAAACATTTCACAAAAAAAGGATGAAAAATTACACTTATATGCAAATTATCGCGGGTTGCTGGTAAAATTCCTGCAAGCTTTAAATACCACCCCTCAAAGAATTTAATTCCGCATCTCTCGAAGCCCTGCTGAAGTTACTACGCCGCTTAGATCGCGCGCAAACCCAAAAAAAAAAAAAAACATTTCACGAAAAAGGGATGAAAAATTACACTTATCTACAAATTTTCGCGGGTTGCTGGTAGAATTCCTGCAAGATTTAAATACCACCCGACGAAGAAATTAATTCCGCATTTCTAGACGCCCCGATAAAGTTACTACGCCGCTTAGATCGCGAGCTAACCCAGAAAAACACAAACATTTCACGAAAAATGGATGAAAACTTACACTTATCTACAAATTTTCGCGGGTTGTTGATAGAATTCCTGCGAGATTTAAATACCACCCAACGGAGAATTTAATTCCGCATCTCTAGAACCCCTGCTGAAGTTACTACGACGCTTAAATCGCGAGCTAACCCAAAAAAACACAAACATTTAACGAAAAAGGGATGATAAATTACACTTATCTACAAATTTTCGCGGGTTGCTGGTAGAATTCCTGCAAGATTTAAATACCACCCGACGGAGAAATTAATTCCGCATTTCTAGACGCCCCGCTGAAGTTACTACGCCGCTTAGATCGCGAGCTAACCAAAAAAAAAGACATTTCACGAAAAAGGGATGAAAAATTACACTTATCTACAAATTTTCGCGGGTTGCTGGTAGAATTCCTGCAAGATTTAAATACCACCCGACGAAGAAATTAATTCCGCATTTCTAGACGCCCCGATGAAGTTACTACGCCGCTTAGATCGCGAGCTAACCCAGAAAAACACAAACATTTCACGAAAAAGGGATGAAAAATTACACTTATCTACAAATTTTCGCGGGTTGCTGATAGAATTCCTGCAAGATTTAAATACCACCCAACGGAGAATTTAATTCCGCATCTCTAGAACCCCTGCTGAAGTTACTACGACGCTTAGATCGCGAGCTAACCCAAAAAAACACGAACATTTCACGAAAAAGGGATGAAAAATTACACTTATCTACAAATTTTCGCGGGTTGCTGGTAGAATTCCGGCAAGGTTTAAATACCACCCAACGGAGAATTTAATTCCGCATCTCTAGAACCCCTGCTGAAGTTACTACGCCGCTTAGATCGCGAGCTAACCCAAAAAAACACAAACATTTCACGAAAAAGGGATGAAAAATTACACTTATCTACAAATTTTCGCGGGTTGCTGATAGAATTCCTGCAAGATTTAAATACCACCCGACGGAGAATTTAATTCCGCATCTCTAGACGCCCCGCTGAAGTTACTACGCCGCTTAGATCGCGAGCTAACCCAAAAAAACACAAACATTTCACGAAAAAGGGATGAAAAATTACACTTATCTACAAATTTTCGCGGGTTGCTGGTAGAATTCCTGCAAGATTTAAATACCACCCAACGGAGAATTTAATTCCGCATCTCTAGAAACCCTGCTGAAGTTACTACGCTGCTTAGATCGCGCGCAAACCGAAAAAAAACACAAACATTTCACGTAAAAGGGTTGAAAATTTACACATTTATGCAAATTTTCGTGGGTTACAAATAGAATTCCGGCAAGGTTTAAATACCACCCGACAAAGAATTTAATTGCGCATCTCTAGACGCCCCGCTGAAGTTACTACGCCGCTTAGATCGCGAGCTAACCCAAAAAAAAACACAAACATTTCACGAAAAAGGGATGAAAAATTACACTTATTTACAAATTTTCGCGGGTTGCTGGTAGAAATCCTGCAAGGTTTAAATACCACCTAACGGAGAATTTAATTCCGCATCTCTAGAAATCCTGCTGAAGTTACTACGCTGCTTAGATCGCGCGCAAACCGGAAAAAAACACAAACATTTCACGTAAAAGGGTTGAAAATTTACACATTTATGCAAATTTTCGCGAGTTGAAGATAGAATTCCGGCAAGGTTTAAATACCACCTAACGGAGAATTTAATTCCGCATCTCTAGAAATCCTGCTGAAGTTACTACGCTGCTTAGATCGCGCGCAAACCGGAAAAAAACACAAACATTTCACGTAAAAGGGTTGAAAATTTACACATTTATGCAAATTTTCGCGAGTTGAAGATAGAAATCCTGCAAGGTTTAAATACCACCTAACGGAGAATTTAATTCCGCATCTCTAGAAATCCTGCTGAAGTTACTACGCCGCTTAGATCGCGAGCTAACCCAAAAAAAAAACACAAACATTTCACGAAAAAGGAATGAAAAATTACACTTATTTACAAATTTTCGCGGGTTGTTGGTAGAAATCCTGCAAGGTTTAAATACCACCCAACGGAGAATTTAATTCCGCATTTCTAGAAACCCTGCTGAAGTTACTACGCTGCTTAGATCGCGCGCAAACCGGAAAAAAACACAAACATTTCACGTAAAAGGGTTGAAAATTTACACATTTATGCAAATTTTCGCGAGTTGAAGATAGAATTCCGGCAAGGTTTAAATACCACCCGACGAAGAATTTAATTGCGCATCTCTAGATGCTCCGCTGAAGTTACTACGCGGCCTAGATCGCGTGCAAACCGGAAAAAACACAAACATTTCACGTACAAGGGTTGAAAAATTACACTTATATGCAAAATTTCGGGGGTTACAGGTCGAATTCCGGCAACAATTAAACACCACCCGACGGAGAATTTAATTCCGCATCTCTAGACGCTAAATTGAAGTTACTACGAGGCCTAGGTCGCGAGCAAACCCGTAAAAAACCAAACATTTAACGTAAAAGGGTTGAAAAATTACACTTATATGCAAATTTTCGGGGCTTACAGGTTGAATTCCGGCAACAAGTGAATACCACCCGACGCAGAATTTAATTCCGCATCTCTAGACGTCAAGGTGAAGTTACTACGCGGCCTAGATCGCGAGCAAACCCGAAAAAACACAAACATTTCACGTAAAAGGGTTGAAAAATTACACTTATATGCAAATTTTCGGGGGTTACAGGTCGAATTCCTGCAACAAATAAATACCACCCGACGCAGAATTTAATTCCGCATCTCTAGAGGCCAAGGTGAAGTTACTACGAGGCCTAGATCGCGAGCAAACCCGAAAAAACACAAACATTTCACGTAAAAGGGTTGAAAACTTACACTTATATGCAAATTTTCGGGGGTTACAGGTCGAATTCCTGCAACAATTAAATACCATCCGACGCAGAATTTAATTCCGCATCTTTAGATGCCAAGGTGAAATTACTAAGCGGCCTTGATCGCGAGTAAACCCGAAAAAACACAAACATTTCACGTAAAAGGGTTGAAAACTTACACTTATATGCAAATTTTCGCGGGTTGCAGGTCGAATTCCTGCAACAATTAAATACCACCCGACGGAGAAATTAATTATGCATCTCTAGACGCTACGCTGAAGTTACTACGCGGCCTAGATCGCGTGCAAACCGGAAAAAACACAAACATTTCACGTACAAGGGTTGAAAAATTACACTTATATACAAATTTTCGGGGGTTGCAAGTCGAATTAATTCTACAATTAAATACCACCCGACAGAGAATTTAATTCCGCATATCTAGACGCTACGGTGAAGTTACTACCCCGCATAGATCGCGTGTAAACCCGAAAAAACCAAATAGTTCACGAAAAAAAGTTGAAAAATTACTCTTACATGCAAATTTTCGGGGGTTGTAGGTCAAATTCCTACAACCATTAAATACCACCCGACGGACAATTTAATTTCGCATCTCTAGACGCTAGGGTGAAATTACTACGCCGCATAGATCGCGTGCAAACCCGAAAAAAACAAATATTTCACAAGAAAAGGGTTGAAAAATTACCCTTATATGCAAATTTTCGGGGGATGCAGGACAAATTCCTACAAGCATTAAATACCACCCGACGGACAATTTAATTCCGCATCTCTAGACGCTACGGTGAAATTACTACGCCGCATAGATCGCGTGCAAACCCGAAAAAAACAAATATTTCACAAAAAAAAAGGGTTGAAAATTATTCTTATATGCAAATTTTCGGGGGTTGCAGGTCAAATTCCTACAAGCGTTAAATACCACCCGACGGAGAATTTAATTCAGCATATCATTAATTCCGCATCACTCGTCACGCCGTTCAAGTACTCGTATACGTGACGCCGTTCGCGGGAAATTAAAGGCGTACGTGCAACGAGCACGAATGTATAGAACAAACAAGTAATATATACCATACCAGTATTTTATGCGTTCCAACACTCCGACAGGGGCTGATGTATTTAGCAACTCGCCGTCTTGTGAGTTGCAAAATACACTTAACCGGCATTTACGGACAATAAAGATGCAAATAGTCAATAACAATACTATAGTCACAAGTTAAAACTAAATCGTCTATTGGCGATCGAATATAATGCAAAGTTAAAAAGCACAAGTCCGAACAAACGATACGAGTCGCGAGAGACACGACTGAATCAACTAGAGACCGACACGACACTGAGCGCAATCCGCGGATAGTGCACGCCGTAGCCGAGCAAGTTCACGCGACGCGACCGTTTACGATAAGAAAGCAAGAGATGCGCAAAACCCGTGCGCCGATTGCGCGCGACCTTGTACGCGAATTGCAATAGGCCCGATCTAAACTAAACGTGAATATGCTGCCTGCGGTGTAAGAGGTTTGCAACGACGACAATCGAGAATCTCATGCGTTGCATTCCACGCCGCGAAAGCGATAAGAAAGTAAATTGTGTTCAAAACGAATACAAAAGCAAAACAAAATTCTCGTGCCGAATGCGAACGTTTATGCTTCTGCCATCTGTGAATGTTACACCTAGAAGTCCCGGAATTAAGATTATTAATTAATGAAATATTCCGCGTATTTACATTACCTATTAAAGTGGTGTTTTGCAATTTGTATTAATCGCAAAATGTCGGCTGGAAATACGTTTTCCCAAGCTTCCACAGAGAAGCAATAATCAACAAAAATGAATTATTTCATTGAATCAATACATACAATCACACAAAAGTGCACAATTTTGTCATCCTTGACGCAGAGCTGAAGGCTGCTCTTTTCTTGCGCACGCTAAAGTTATCATAATGTACCGTGCGTGCGTGGCTTGGTCGTTCTTGATTAAAACGTAAATAATTAAGGTCAAAATTAAAGATTAAAAATAAAGCGGTGCCCATTAACATATAGTATTGCAATTTTGTATACTAAGCTAAAAAAATAGTATATGAAGTTTCAAACGCGCTAAACGGCATTTTAATTGAGTAATTCTTACATTATAATTTATTTTTTATGAGACTTTTGAAATTCCCATTTCCGAATATTATTAAAAATGGTAAAAGTGGTGCTTTTTCATATTTTACCTTGTACTTTTGTTTGCGAATATCACAAAAACTAAAAGTTATAGACAGAATTGAAGATTCTTATTCTACTAAACTCGAACACCAGTAGGGCGAGACGTGAGAGGATGGCAACGACAACACACGGCAATTTCGGGCATTGCTATTCGCACAGCAATAAAAAAAGTGTAAACAAGCACAATTCTCGTCTCGAATGCCCACGATTGTTGATAAATATAGAAATAAACAATACAAATCTATTTTACGATTTTAAGTTCATGCTAGTGCCATCAATAAATGATACAAGTAGTACCTAGTTCCTCAATTTAGACTAAGTTTTGAAATTAATGATAAATTAAAATTCGATTTGCGTAATTCAATGTTACTATGCTAAAAGTTTGCCCGATTTTACATCAAATATTTAAGTGATATACAAATCTTACTAAGATAAGAAGTTGAGAACAATGTCTTGTTGATTCTTGTCTAAATAAAACTTCAAATTTCCATTCGTAATTTTCTGACCGAATTTTGTCATTTGGTACTAACTAATCTGAAATCTAGAAACTCTTTTTATAAATAATAAAATTATTTTACTTACCAGTTATGCAAAACCGTAAATCGAAGATATGTTGATAGACACTGAAATAAATGAACCTTCAGACGGTGCCCTGAACACGAATCACTTCTACCGCCACCCTGCTACGGTACACCGAATGAGACTCAACAATACAATTTCAACTATATAACGAAATAAACAAAGAAAATTCTTTCTTGACTTTCTTGACATACTCAAGTGAATAAACTTTAATTTAACCGTCTGGTCTCGCAAAGAATGTAAATGTTCGTCGCAGTTAATTATAATGTAACACCACGCTCGATTTCAATTATTACGTAATTATAAATTATACTTCCTTAATCCTTATCTAGAAGAAAATATTCAGTAAAGAGTAATTCGGTAAAAAGTACTTCATAATCAGGTACAAATAAAGTATTATAAAATTAAACACAAAATATTATTCAGGAATTTATCGACTAATCAAAGATAATGATTATAAATACCATAATTTTTTTTCGAGGATTTTCGATAGTGAATATCTTTGATCGATTGGTCGCTAGCGATTTTAGTTAAAAAGATTTTGAAAGTTTGGAAAATTCTTTATAAGATAAGACAAGAAAATAATTCCTAGTGTAAAGGTTCTGAAATCGGGTATAAAAGTGCTAAAAAGTGGACGTTTTCATATTTTAAGAGGTTTCTTCGATTACGAATATCTCGTAAACTAAAAATGATAGAAATGAGCGGATTGTAAATTCATAACCTACGGAAAATTCTCTATCAGGTAAGCTAGTTAAATTGAAAATTTAAAGTTTAAAAAAATAATTTATAAGAAAAAATGGCCAAAGGGGGGTGCTGCATTATTTTGCTTCGAGTATTTTAGTTATATATCTTTTAAGCTTTTAAGCTACAGTATTAAACTGATTGAAGATTATAAAAGTTCGGTAAGATATTCTGTAAAATACCATGAGAAAATAATTAAAATTCGAGAAATAAAGTTCAGAAATCGTGTTAAAAAGTGGTAAAAATAGCCAATTTTCATATTTCGGAAACTAAAAGAGAAACTTATTTAAAATTATTAATCTTCTTCTACTTCTCTATAAGACAAAGTATTAAAATAGTGTATGCCTCAGACATGCAAACAAGTCCGCGACAATCCATGATAAGACTACCTGCTGCCCGAACAAGCAAAGCCGGCGCAAGAATGACACGCGACATTGTTGCACAAATTTCAATAGGCACGAGACCGGCGATTTAAACACAGCAATAAAAAAGTGTAAACAATTCCGGTGTCGAATGCCCACGTTTGCTGATAAATATAGAAATAAACAATACAAGTTCATTTTATGAGTTTTAGTTCATGCTAGTGCCATCTATAAATGATACAAGTAGTAATCCCACAATTTTGATTAAGTATTAAAACCAATGAACAAATGAAATTCGATTTATGTAATTCAAAATTAATATGCTGAAAGATTATACGATTTTACATCAAATATTATGATATATAAATTTTATAATTAGATAAGAAGTTGAGGAATATGTCTTATTGATTCTTTTTTAAATACAACTTCAAATTTCCATTCTTAATTTTCCTTCAGACAGAACTTTGTTATTTAGTGACATTGCAGAAAAACTATCAAACGCAGAACTAAACTGGGTACACGGCAAACAAATTCTAAAAATAATGAATTTATTTTACTAACCAGTTTTTACAGATGGTAAATCGTTGGTAGATTCTGAAATAAATGAAAAACAAAACAGTTTTTAAATTAAAATTCCTTTTATTCGCATAATAATAATAGGAATTACAATATTTACCTGGAAGAACGTTAGTCCATAATCATCTGCTGATGGCAAAAATGCTGTCGCCCGACGGCAACGAACTCACAAACACGTGAATAAACTAAACACGCAAAATTTAAAATTACGAAGATTACACACGCGAAAAATAGCAGATAAAAGATGATACACGTTTATTAACACTAATAATCATCGGCGAACTGGAAATATTACGCGATTTACCGAACTTATATCAAACAATAACACAAGCCGAAAGTGTGGAATGTGTGTTCGTCGTTATCGCACCGATGCAAAAACAAAATACACCAGCTGTCATATTTTTAGTTAAACCTACATTGTGGCGCCATCTGAGGACACATTCAAATACCTCACAAAAACACAAAGTGTTTTAAACAGTGTGGCGCGCATATGTAGCAGTGTTGATTTGTCTATGAGTCAGTGAGGTGTCACGCACTTAGATGGTAGCGTCCATGTGATACACGTACGGGAAAGTGTGCGTGCACTTCCCTGTCTAAATAAGTAGCAGTTTTATACAGAAATGGAATACATCAAATCTAGATGAGACGTGATGTTCAAATTTAAATCTGTGTTATACAAATATGATTCCAATATTAGTCTTTAATAATCCCGGAATTTAGATTATTAAAATTAATAAATGATTACACCCAAGCTTTCAAAGAGAAGCAATAATTATATATGTATCATGTATGCTTTGAGTAATATAATAGGTGCTTTCATTATCAGTAATTTACTAATCTATGTGCTGACACACACACACTTTTTTTTTCAAATTTTTGATTTATATAGATATTTCTCTGACCTGCTAGATGTCGTTGACTTTCGTTTGAACTTTGCGCATTTATGCAGTGACTCAGTGAGCAAAATTCACCGAGTTGTTTCGTTTGCTTCATAATGTCACTTATGTGTGCTGGAGCAGCATGACCCAACATCATCTTTAAAGACATTCACTGGCTGATAACACTCTTCCATTTGTTGGTAAACCGCCCACAATATGGAAGATCTCAACGTTTCTGACCGGTCTGCAAGTCCACGACGTTCACGAAGCAATTCGCGACATCGTTCAACCGATAGCACCTCATCTACTAGTCCACGACACGTCAAATCTCTCCTTCTGGCGATGCTAAAAATGAAAACATTTATTGGACAATTCACAGCAACCATCAGGGTTGACCAACTGGGACAGTACAGAGATGTCATCCAAATTGAAGCAAGAGATCCCCTTGTACCCATCATCACTGAATTACAAATGAGAATCTATCAAGCTTTTCCAAACAGCTGGCCTGGTGTTACCAAACCTGGTGATTTGGCTGTTCAAGATGGTCATTGCTTTTGGGTTGAAAATGCTGACAAACTCTTTGAACCTCATCACTATAGAATCACAGACATTCAATTTACCAAGAATGAAATTTGCTTTATTATTAAGACTGAAGGTAAAGTGGTTCCAGAGATGTCAGCCAATGAGAAAAGTATTTATGAAGTATTAAGCACTTCCAAGGAAGTTATCCAGGCCCAGTCTAAACTGTTTGCAGTGGGTATGTGGGAGTTGCTAACAGTAGAAAACATTAAAAACACTCTTAGATTTCTTGGTGCTTTGATAACACTACTTGGCACTGCTGGAGTATATTTACTGGATTATCTTATCAGACTGATACATGCACTCACTGGTTTGCTTAAAGTATCCATGCCAGCAGTAATGAAATGTTTGGATATCCTGCAGAAAGTAATTGGTGCAATTTTTGTTTTCTTTGCAATGGTTTGGAGGGATTTGATGGGTACTTCCAGGGGAGCGTATTATCATGACAGACCGCGACCCATAAGATATCGCTAAATAAATAGTTTTACCAAAAAACAACACAAAGGTATATTGTGATAGTTTTAGATCAATCTGATTGTATGGTAACTTGGTAACTTGCTGGTATAAACTTACAAGTTATATAATCTCACATTTTGTCCTAAAATTATGATTATTTAAAGATTTATAACAAAAAATTGGGTGCATAAGAATAGTGATATAAAAGAATCTATGTGATTTGTAATCTATTTCATAAGAATATTTTTAAATATGAATAAATCAACATAATTAATTATTTTTGCGATAAATTTAAGGGTTGTGGTGCGTTTGCGCTACATAATTCTTATTAATTTACCGAAGGACGGCGATGAAATCAAATTAATATATTGATAATGTCGCAGTTGCTTGCATATGGAACAATACTTTATGTTGTTGTATAGTGAAATTCTGGGAAGTTTGATTTCTTTTATTTCCGCTCAAATATTTTGATTAAAACGTTTTTTTTTTCGGCTGCAGTTCCTTCTTTACAATTTGCAAATGCAGTCGAAACAGAGTCATGAAGTAAATGAACTCGAATTGAACTGTAATTTACCATATTAACGCAAATTAATTGCATTGTGTGCAAAATCACCGAATGCACGCTACATTTACATTTCCAATATTATAAAAACTTCTGACTGTGCAGAAATAGCGCATTCGTTCATATCTTGTATTACTGTAAACACCATGAGGTCAAATGTGATCGAATTTGCGCGACAAGTCGACCCGCACTCAACTATACCCGCATTCTTCGCCGGCAAAAATGTCTTCATCACCGGTGGCTCGGGTTTCATGGGAAAAGTTCTCATTGAGAAACTGCTTCGCGCTTGTCCCGAGATCGGCAACGTGTACATTTTATTAAGAGAAAAGTATCAACAAAGTTTGCAAGAACGAGTCAAGAATATTACGGAAAATATTGTAAGTTTAGCGATTTAATGTAAATGTTTATATTTAAATATTTTGTAGTTGTTTGATAAGTTACGCCAAGAAAACCCCGCTGCACTCGCAAAAATTGTCCCAATCAGAGGCGATGTAAGAGAATTACGTTTGGGCATATCGGAAGAGGATAGAAAAACGCTGATTGAAGAGGTTTCCATTGTGTATCATGTTGCTGCAACCGTGCGATTTGACGAAACCCTTGCGGATTCCATTCTGATGAATACACGTGGAACGCGCGAGGTTTGCAGTTTAGTATTGGAATTAAAAAATGCCACCGTAAGTTTTAATTATTATGAATTATAACAAAAGTGTAAATTAAAAGTTATTTTGTTCTTGAATTAGGCATTTCTTCATGTCTCAACTGCATATTGCCAACATGATAAGAAAATTGTCGAAGAGAAGTTGTATCCACCTAGAAATGACTGGCGAAAAATGATTAAAATGGTGGAAGAGACTGATCAGTATCACATGAAAGTGTTAAGTCATAAAATAATGGATGGTTATCCCAACACCTACACCTATTCAAAAGCATTGGCGGAGAATGTAATAGTTGATATGTTGCAAGGAAAAGTACCAACTATCATTATGAGACCCACGATAGGTAAAAATAACACAAAGGGGACAAAATAAACGAATTAAAATTTACAAAATGTTTTTGTAGTTGTATCAACTTATAAAGATCCCATGGCTGGCTGGAATGATAACATGAATGGTCCAGTGGGTTTAGTAGCAGCATCAGGAAAAGGTAAAACCATTATTAAAAAAGCATTGCTTATGTAAAACTTGATTTTAGGAATATTACGCTCAATATTCGCTAGTCGTGAATCTATCCTCGACTTTAATCCTGTAGACGTTGCGATAAATTTCATCTTGAAAGCCACGTGGTTGCATCAGTTTCTACAGTAATTGTTTTTGATTATTTTAAATCTTCATAAAATAGTATAATATATGCGGCATATTTTAGTCAAGATCACATCGCAGTTTATAACTGTTCAAGTGAAGGCATCGTTCAAATTCATGTGACTACCCTACAAGAAATCGGCTATCACGTTCAAGAACAGGTCACTGTAAAGCCAATATGGTATCCATGTTTTGAAACAACAGACAACAAATTCAACCACATGATCAAAATCTATTTGTATCACTTGCTGCCGGCCATTATAATCGATTTGATTTTAAAATGTTTTAAAAAGCCACCGAGGTAACCTAATTTATAAACTATACTACCTGTCTACTATAGCGTTATTTCGCATTGAATATATTCTTAGATTGTTTAAAATTCAACGAAAAATCTACTTGGCCCTTGGTTGTTTGGAATATTTCATGCGGCATCGCTGGGTGTTTAAAAACGACAAACTCCTTGAAATGGACGATTATTTACACGAATCCGATCAGGAAAACTTCTACGTAGATATGCGAGCAATCGATGTGATGGAATTTTTCCTAACAAGCGCTAAAATTGGTGTGCCTTTAATCATGAAAGAAGATTTAAGTAATTCCAAGCAAAACTACCGCACAATGAAGAGGTAGAGTACATAAATATCTAAATATAATGCAATTTTAAAAAAATAACCTTAAAAAATGTTTCAGAATGGGTTATGTACACAATGGACTCAAATTCATCTTCAGCATCCTGCTTCTCATCTTCACGTTGAATAATTTTCTAATCCCTGGGTGGAATTCTTTCATTGATTACCTAATATCACTTTAATTAAATTGTATTTATTGAAGGTGAATGGCAAATACTGATATAAATTAATTGCGCACTCTACACACAAAATATTGTCTCAATTTCATAAAATGCATATCAAAAATATATTATATTACACTTACTTGTAAAACACTGTATACATCGTGGTATTTCTGATATGTGTAAAAAAGAAAAACAAATTAGTGCTAGTTCCACCAGACTAATAATCTAGTCACTTCCAAGGCGGTTTCATCGTGCGATTATCATTTATGTTGATTTTATTCCTATCTACGATTTCCTAAATAAATAAATTCATGATCAATGAAAATTATTAAATTGTACATCAAACAATTACCTCACTTTTTTGTGTAGGCTGACTGGATTCCTTCATGGGTTCCATTTGTGTCGAAGTTGACTGTTTATTCAATAACTAGATGAAATAAATACATAAATCGTAATGAATATATTATAAATCATTATACTTACAAGACTGACATATTTTTGCAATTCATTTCCATTGTCCCGAGACTCTTTCTGAATTTTATTCATTTGTACCTTAGAACTTACAGGTGTTTCACTCAGAGCATGGAAATTATCTCTCTCAAGCTCCGCAGAGTATTCACCAGGGTCCGAAAGCACTTCTTCTAAATTATTATGACTTTTGACTTTGAGTGATTTTAACTGGTCCAATGTGGTGTCAATCGGTGTGCTATTGTATGGACTTTTAGTATTGTTAATGATTTTCAATGCTTCCATCCACTGCACTTCCATTACTTTGTGCAATTGATGCGCTAACGCCGTCCGCCGTTCGTTGAAATGCTTTAATTTACTTTCTTGTGTTGTAATTTGTTGCTGTGCTTGCTGAAGTTGCATCTGATAATACTTAATTTCTTCTTTTTGCTTTTCTTCTAATAATTGTACTTCTAAATTGTGTCTGATGAATAAACAAATAAATTATATGATATTTATTACTAGTCACACGTGTATTTACTTATCAGTAATTTGTTGAATGTGTGTAGCTGCTGTTTTGGCAATGGAAAGTTCCCGTTTGTTGATTTCGTCCTGTAAAGAAGTTTCAGCTCGATCAAGCTGTGATTGGAACTCTTTCAGTTTATCCTGGACAAGCAATTCTACTTGTTGCTGATAGAAATCTCTTAAATCACTTTTTGTTTTGTCCATTTTTTCTTTACAAACCAATACTTCCCTTTGTGCATCAGCCTGTATAAAATATTAATTTAAAACATATATTTGCTTAGGTTATTGATGCACTTACATGTAAAACTTTAAGATTATCATTATCTGTTTCTAAACCATGGATTTTAGACTCAAGATCTTTTATTGTTTTCTGCTTCTCGGTTAAAATTTCCTCCAAACTGTTATATTGTGTTTTCATATTTGCGAATTCAACTTGGCACAATTCAATCGCCTTCTTACTGTTCGCAACTTCTAGTCGCGAATCGTTCAAAACATTTCTGCTCTGAAAAATCGACGCAGTCCTGATAAAAAAGCTTACAACGAAATAAAACATGCACAAATAGTATACCTCAGTCAAATCCAGTTCTTTCTGTACGATAATATCGTTTAATTTTTTACTTTTCTGTATTTCCGCATTGTGACTCTCTTCAACTTCCAGGATTTTCTTCTCAAGACATTCTAATTTTTCTTGTAGTTCGGTATTTTGTACCATGTAACTGCTAAGTTTATCATGACTGCCATGAGCAAGGTTTAAAGCTTTTGATGCTTCTGCTTCATATTGTTTGATTTTCTATTAATAATTAATAATAATTATAATAAATCTATGAATTCAGAATTATATTTTAATGTTTTACTTACCATTGAACATTCCTGCATATTCTGTTCATTTTTTAAATGTAATTCTTGTATTTTTTCCTCTAGAGTCCTGTTTTCCAACATTAAAGTACGCAATCGAGACGTTACCTTCTCCCAAGAGTCGTGAAACTTCGACAGGGCGTTATCTTTAGCTTTATCAACTTGCACAGCAACGGCTAACCTTTCTTGCAATTCTAACGAACGCGTTTGTAAGTCTTGTATTAAATCTTCACAGTGCTACACATAAATATGGCCAAAAATAATAATAAATTTCATTAAATTAAAAAATTAGTTTATTTCTTACTTGTCTCCTGAGTTTTTCCTCTTCTAGTCTCTCTGTCAAACTGCCAACTTGTTCATTCTGTCCCCAAAGCTCATTCAAACTCAACAGTCTTCTACTTTTTAAAATCTCCTCAGTATGATTAAAATTCTCAAATTCGCCATTATTCTGTCTTGTTGGCATTACATGCCTAGCAGTCAACTGAGTTGAATCTGTTGTTGTAGTAGTACTGCTAAGAGTAGAAGACTTATCTCCACCATATCCACTTGTAGTAACACCCAGAGTTGTTACAGTCATTTTGGCAAAATCGTTGCAATTCTCTGTGACTTGATTATCATTTTGCATTTGACAAGATGGAGGTAATGTTTTTACATCATCTCCCATCCTCCAAGCCTGACTTTTCTGCATAACTTCCTCCTGTTCCCTAAGTCTAAGGTCATTCTTTTTTTTCTGTACCTCAATCTCCTCCAGCATATTTTCAATTTCAGCTAAATTAATAATCCTACCATTCACCTCCACAATGTCACTGTTTGCATCAAGTTTCTTATTTGTTTCTATCGCATTGGATGTGGTATGAATATAGTCATTAAATTCATGCAACTTCCTGGGAGAATAATTACTTTTTGTAGCTGTAAAACAGCTTTTTGGCTTTTGTGGACTTTGTGAGCTGGCTCTGTACCTCATTCTAGGTTTTTGTGGTGTGCTGAATGTACTACTATTGTAGTAGCCATCTCTTAATATGTCATCAGAGCTTTTGTACCTGTTGGAATGATGATCCATGGTGTCATCAATACTAGTAGATGTTAAATCTATTTGTTCGATTGAATGCACGCGTGTATGCAGCCGGTTTACTTGAGATATTAGCGAATCGACGATTTTGAAATAGGTACCATGTGCGAGCGACTGGATCACTTCGGTTTCAGGATTAGCAATGTATTGGTCTGGTGGAACTAGCAGCAAATCATCGGTGTCGTCAGTATCACTCATACTCAAATCAAATATTGCTTTCCATCAGAGTCCTTAGAAGCTCACCTACCTTCATCGTTACCGGCGAGTTAAGCGCACTTACTGTAAAATTATGTATGCAATTGTGGGTTAGTATTGATGTAACATTTTATTTGTTTGCACTGAAGAACGAGCGGTTTGTTGTAAGTTGTATTTTATGAAGAAACTGATGTAAACAGTAGTTGAACGATACGGACGACACAAACAAATAAGTGAGGTTGTTTTGCCAAACTGATGCCATGGTTATAAAGTTGTGCTATTTGGGTTGCCTAATAAAAAAATGCTCATTATAATACGCATATCTAAACATAGTAATTTCTTTCAACAAAACAGAACTTTAGATATTCTACTAGGAAACCAGCAATTGATAATACAATGCCAGCACACCAAAAAACAAACGCAACACGTAAATGTTTTAAATTCAATTCGGTTAGGGCAACGTCATATGAAACGCGGTAATTAACTCTTTCTGACGAAGTGGCAAAACGATAGATGTGTAATGTAAATTCCCATTCCCATCGACGATGCAATCCTGCTGCCTTACACTGCAGAATAAAATCGTTTAGTTTTGGTATCAGCCGTGCATATTCAGTTTTATTTGGTTGCAATTGATATTTCGAATAGACTTTGAAAAATGATTCTGTTAATTCCATGAAGGAACCGGAGAACATTGCCCAAACTGCAAAATAAAACAAAACTATATCTTTGTTTTAATCTTGCATTGTGAAAGTTTACTTTTATTCTCTGTGCGTGTAATGGTTGATGCAGTATTGTCGAAACCACGGATATGATTCAAAACAGAGTCGCGCTCATCCGCAAATATCATACGTTCGAATTTCTATAAGTGAAAGAATGAAAGAATTCATATCTGTTTAAGAAATTAATTCATTTTGTACATACTGTCATTTTTTCTTCCGACATAGCCGCAAAGTTTTGATCAAAGTGAAAGTGAACATATAGTTTTGAATGTGCCAAATCCTCCATGGTTAATACTAAACTTTCATAACTAAAACATTTGTTTCAAGTTTTCGTTAGCTTTACTGCTATCATTGATAAATACCTTGGATAAATCATTTTGCTGACGATTTGTGACGAAAACAAAGATCCGTGGAGCAATCCCAAGAATAGTAATAAAGAAAAAACGCATCGGGATCTAAGTGCAGTTGGAATTTCAATTTCACTAAATGGTTGCATTAAAAAATATGATATTATTGATACAGGTCTCGGAACGGGTTGATTTCTGAAAATATTTTCATTTTTATTTTGAATCTGTATATCTCTGAATACTTCAGAGTGGGATTACCTTTCAATTCTTTTTAAAATCCAAAAATATCCGCCGACAATTAAATAAACAAATATTATCATCAGCCATAAATTTAGTTCAAATACTTTAAGCAGTTGCAGCCAGTGATTATACATTCTTAAAACAATAACAATATTATAATGATTATTTTTTGCTATATGCGTTTATTATGTTTTACTTTGGTTTTGGAACAATAAACGACGCTTCCAGAACTGTCATTGGATATGAATAAATCCCGCCATTTTTGTATTTTCCAACATCAGTGATTTTGAAAATAATATTCCGCTGAACAGCTTTCTTTGATGGAAACGACTCGTCCAAAATGAATTCATTTCTCCGTGCAAATTCTTTGAGCAAATTGTAGTCGCTACCCATCGGAATTTCCTCTTCTATACTGTAGTAAATTGGTATAAATGCGCCATGCGCCAACGCAAAAACACTTCTTTTGTTATTCTTCCATTTACCATTAAAAAAATCCGTTGCATTGTATTTTGAGCGAAGAAAATTGTTTGTTTTAACACACCAATAGTTTAATATCATTACTTGTGTCACATCCCAATCGTCAAATGCACTAATCCCATAAAGATCTTCTTTTTTTTTGAATATAAATATAGCATCGGTTGCGTATGCTTTCTTTGAATATGTTTCTATCGTTTCCGATTCCAAAATAATGATTGCTCTAAACTTGTAATCGTTGTTTTGAAACATACACTCTTTAATCCAAGACGGATTGTTTTCTCTTGGATCATGTAGAATGTAATGGTGGCAACCAGGAATACACTGCAATGGATTGACTACTAATGAAATCGTAGAATTTGACGAAATACTCGTAGATAGCTGAATATTTGTGTTATTTTGGTAGAAATATATAATGCAAGAAACATTTTGAAAGTTTGTCTTAATAATCAATTGCAGAAGAATGTTTAAAGTTGTCCCAGCTAGTAATGTATTCATTTCTCAACGTGATGAATACAAATAAATTAAAGAAAATATTTCACGTTCCTGTTGGCAGTTCATTTTGTATATAAGAAAAATGGTCATCAGGCGTCCCTTTGTTGCAAGAATTATATCTATTGTTCAATTGTTTATAAACAATGGTTTTAGTAAAAATTATATTTGCCTATTACGGTGATCGGTGATAATGTCCAAGCAATAATCACCGTTTAATGATATGTATAATATCGTAAAAAGGCAAAAAATATAATAATTGTAATTATTGTATAATAATAGTAAAGCTACTTTAAATTATTTATAGATTTTAAATGAGAATTTTAAATTTACATTTAGAAATCACGAATATTTGCTGAATATCACCAAACTGATGCCATGGTTATAAAATTATGCTATTTGGGTTGCCTAAAAATATCTAAATATAGTTATTTCTTTCAATTAAACAAAACTTTAGATATTCTAGTAGAAAACCAGCAATTGATAATACAATGCCCACAGACCACAACACAAATGCAATACGTAAATGTTTTAAACCCAATTCTGTTAAGGCAACATCATATGAAACGCGATAATTAACTTTTTCAGATGTAGGGAGAAAACGATATATGTGAATTGTAAACTCCCATTCCCATCGACGATGCAATCCTGCTGCTTTACACTGCAGTATGAAATCGTTTAGTTTTGGTACCAGATGAGCATATTCAGTTTAATTTGGTTGCAATTGATATTTCGAATAGACTTTAAAAAATGATTCTGTCATTTCCATAAGGGCATCGGCTAACATTCCCCAAACTGTAAAATTAAACAAAATGTATCCGCTTTTTATTCTTGTATTGGGTAATTTTACTTTTATTCTCTGTGCGTGTAATTGATGTGGCAATGGAGTAGACATCAACGATATGATTCAACTTTGCGTCGCGCTCATCAGTAAATATCAAGCGTTCAAATTGCTAGAAGAAAATATGTTAAACATGTATGAGAAGTTGCCTACATTTTCTACCTACTGTCATTTTATCCTGCGTCAAAGCCGCGTAGTTTTGATCAGGGTGAAAGAAAACATATAGTTTTGAATGTGCCAAATCTTCCATGGTTTGTACTAAACTTTCATAACTAAAACATTTGTTTTAATTTTATTTGAAGTTTTAGCTACTGCTTGCATTGATAAATACCTTGGATAAATCATCTTACTGACGATTGTTGAAGAAAACAAAGATCCGTAGATCCCAGAAATAGTAATAAAGATAAAACAAATCGAGATCTAAGTGCAGTTGGAATTTCAATTTCACTAAATGGTTGCATTAAAAAATATGATATTATTGATACAGGTCTCGGAACGGGTTGATTTCTGAAAATATTTTCATTTTTGTTTTGAATCTGTATATCTCTGAATATTTCAGAGTGGGATTACCTTTCAATTCGTTTTAAAATCCAAAAATATCCTCCAATAATAAAATAAACAAGTATAATCATAAGCCATAAATTTAGTTCAAATACTTTAAGCAGTTGGAGCCAATGATTGTACATTCTTAAAACAATAACAGAATTATAATTATTTTTAATTTGTGTTTATTGTGTTTTACCTTGGTCTTGGAACAAGGAACGTCGCTTCAAGAGCCGTCATTGGATATGAATAAATCCCGCCATTCGTGTATTTTCCATCATCAGTAATTCTGAAAATAAAATTATGTTTAACAGCTATATTAGATGAAAACGCCTCGACGATGTTGAATCCATTTGATTTTGCAAATTCTTTGAGCACGTTGAAGTCGCTTCCCACCGGAATTTCCCTTGAATTACTTTGATAAATTGGTATAATTGAGTTCTGCCGCAACAAAAAATCACTTTTTTTGTTATACTTCCATTTGCCATCAAAAAAATCCGATGCATTGTATTTTATACGAAGAAAATTGTTTGTTTTAGCACACCAATAATTTAATATAGTTACTTGTGTAACATTCCAATCGTCAAACGCGCTAATCCCGTAAAGATCTTTTTTTTCTTTAAATATGAATATAGCGTCGGTTGCGTATGCTTTCTTAGAATACGTTTCTATCTTTTCCGATTCCAAAATAATGATTGCTCTAAACTTATAATCGTTGTTTTGAAACATACACTCTTTAATCCAAGACGGATTGTTTTCTCTTGGATCATGTAGAATGTAATGGTGGCAACCAGGAATACACTGTAATGGATTTATTACAAATGAAATAGTAGAGTTTAACGAAATACTCGTAGATAGCTGAATATTTGAATTATTTTGGTAAAAATATATAATACAAGAAACATTTTGAAAGTTTGTCTTAATTATCAATTGCAGAAGAATGTTTAAAGTGGTCTCAGCTAGTAATGTATTCATTTCTCAACGTGATGAATACAAATAAATTAAAGAAAATATTTCACGTTCCTGTTGGCAGTTCATTTTGTATATAAGAAAAACGGTCATCAGGCGTCCATTTGTTGCAAGAATTACATTTATTGTTCAATTGTTTATAAACAATGGTTTTAGTAAAAATTATATTTGACTATTACGGCGATCGGTGACAACAATATATTCAATGCAAGCAGTTAGGAAAGGTAATAATGTCCGGGCTATAATCACCGTTTAATGATATGTGTAATATCGTAAAAAGGCAAAAAATATAATAATTGTAATTATTGTGTAATATTAGTAAAGCTACACTAAATTATTTATAGATTTTAAATGAGAATTTTAAATTTACATTTAGAAATCACGAATATTTCGTTATATATGATAATTTCTTGTTGAAAAATTAGTCTATCACCAAAATATTTCTCCCAAATATTCTAAATCATGTTTTTGTAGAGTTTCTCCTGTTTTTGGAGCAAAATTAATTTGTTTTTAACTTATTCGTTGGCGCTAACTAATTAATAGAAAACTTCACCTCTGGTTTTCATACGAACTGAAATATAGGCAACTTGTTGTTCGACCCAAACATTGAAATTGATGAATTTATTATTAATTTTTAGAGGCTTCCCTTGGAAATTTAGAAAGTTCAAAAGATATACATCTTATAAAGAATGTCTTAAACTAAAACTTAACATTGAAAATCTTAAAATTGCTTCAGGGGTTTAGGAGATATAAGGTGTTTTTTATTCCAAGTTTTTAAGGTTATGCTATGTTTAGTCGTTATTTCAGGAAACTTTTGGGAGTTTCCGGGAGCATTACGCAATAAATTTAAGGCCTTTTTACTACAATATGAGAATAAATGTGACAGGAAATACAAAATATTGAAAATATATCACAAAGAGCAGTTTTGATATGCATTTTAGAGTCTTTTCAGTTGTATTTCGGAGATTTATAAAATTTAGAAGTTGTAAACAAGAGAAAACTTTAAATTATTTCAATATTATAGGTTATGTTAGGTAAAAGTAGGAAAACTAAGAAAACAAACATTTTTCTGCATCTTTATTTAGCAATTAATCAAGATACAGGCATAAATATAAAGTGTTGCATTCTTGTAAAATACAATATTCACAAAATACACAAAAGCCATCAAAGCTTTACATATTCGTAAACAAGTCGAAATACTCGGAAAAAGCGGCTTTAGATAAAGGTATCTGTTTCGTCATTTCATTGTTTCTTCTTATCGCATTCGCATTAAAATATAGTATATATATATATTACATAAAATTATCACTAAAATTGCGTAATTATTGCATTCAACTATTTTCAGCTAGCGGGCGTACAATGCACGTGTAAATAGAAAAAAACTCACGACAATTGCACGCCCACTCTAGTGTTAGTCCAGTAAAAAGCTAAGCAATCTCAAGTCCATGTTTGCAATAATCATAAACATTAAAAACCTCGATCGGCCATTCGATCGATATCACAAAAATAAATATATTCATATATCAAGCATCTCTTAAAGTCGTCAACCTACAAAAAATTGCATGTACTCTGTATCATATCAAGTAAAATATGTATATCCAAAAATTAGGAGGGGCTAAGTGTAAGTGATTGGGGGGCGGTTATCATATTTGCGACTACATTACTGGATGGTGTTCGTAGTATTGCGTACCCGGTGGGATTTTATAACCAGGGTAGCTGCTGTTTAACGCGTGCTGTGCGAAGAAACTGCTGTAGTCCTTCGCGACTTTCCGTGGCCGGACGGATGGACCCTGCGCGAGCTCCATGCGCAGTTGGTTTTCTGCGTTCATGCGATCGCGCACGTTTTCCGGCGGCCATTTTAGGTCGCCGCGCAGATTTTTACCTCCTAAAAATAAAAAATAAAACAAAAATATATAAAAACTTAAAAATTGAGGTTATGTGGTTATGATTTTACCTTTTAAGGTCGCCGTGGCTGGTTGTGAGGTTACAATTGGGGCAGGTGCCTGACTAATGGGGACTTCCGGCCGTAAAGTGATAGTCGTCGGTGGAGGTTCAAATTGTTTCACTGGAGGTTGATACTGAGTAGGTTGTGCTTGATATTGAGGTGGTTGTTGTTGTTGCTGTGGCTATAAACACCCAAATAAAATTTATTTCCATAAATTTTATTATAAGAAACATACCTTTGGCGAAGTCACAGACTGTGGAGTTTGAACTGGTGCCCACAAAGGTTGCTGTTGTTGTTGTTGCTGTAATTGATTAAAAGGTTGTGGTGATTGTGGGCGGATATTGCCCTGTTGAAACGGCGCAGACACTGGGCTATAAGCAGGCTGTGGTTGTTGCTGAGGCACCTGTTGCAGCAGAAGATTGTGCTGCGAGTTAAATTGTTGCTGCGGAGCCCAGGCGGGTTGCTGCGCTTGCTGCGGCTGTGGACTGCAACCAGGCGATGCAGAACTGCCGCTCGAAAGGGGGCGCTGTCCAATGTGGTGGTTAATTGGCGAAATGCTGTTAGGCGCTTGAGAGGAATATTGCGGTCCACCCTAGCCATAATTATGTTATTTATTAAAATAAACTACAATAGAAATTAATAAAATTTTATTTACCTGCGCTTGTACAGCTTCTTCTTCGGAGTATTCGTCTTCACCTTCCTTTGGTGGTGGCCAGGCGACACGCTTAACACCTGCCAAAAACAATAAATTAAACACTGCGCGTTGAAAATTTGCATATTTATGCACCAAAAGTGCAACAAAAATTGCCTGCCAGTATAAATTTCAAATTATCTGGCTGTGTTGGCATGGTTTTAATCCTGGTTTTGCGTTTGTCCCTGGTTGCCAACAAAAAAATGGATGCGCACGTTAAAAATACACATTCACAAAAAATGCAACAAAAACAACCACAGATAAACAAGTTATTTACCAAAGAATGAATAGTATGTTGTTTAATTGGCGTGCAATAATGACTGAAGAGTGTTATGAGCGTCGCAACACCTGCACGACGAGCCTGGGACGTTTTTTCGCGTTCACCTAGCGACGATCTAAGCCAGCGCGTCCTGCAGCCGCACAGCAGGAGAGCAGCACCTCGAGGATGTGTGTGGGCGCCGCGAATGCGCATGCGCAACATGCACACAATCTGTCCGGAATGCAAAAACGCGGCGAGTACAATGTATCAGGTGTACACGACGCGGACATTTTGTATGAGGGAACTGTATGAATGTCGGCGTCATCGCAATATTCGCGTTTTGGCAGCGTGGAATTCGCGTGCAAGGTAATCCAAGCCGAAATATACATTTAAAGACCGTCCCCACTCCCCCCACCCGGCGCGCGCATTCGGAATATTTACGAGCGTGTTCCATTTCACGCGCTGTGTTTAATTCGCTCCGCTTAATTACGCATGCAAGTACTTCTTGTGTGTAGACGTGACAAAAAACAGGAAATCAGGAGTGGAGTAGACTCGCACAAATCTACCTGATATGACGGCGTCTTGAAAACGTCGCCGTTGATTATTTACTCCCGGCGGCGGCCATGCGCGACACAGAGGCTTACTACCATCGCTTCTGAACCCTGACCATCAGTCAATAAAATCAATCAATACAAAAATCGCAAAAATATTGTGATTTTAAAGCCCTACACCTAAATAACTAAAAATGTTTTGCTACAACTATGATGTAAGCTTACTAAATAAACATTTAAACATTTCTTGGTTACCTGGGGATTGTCCATTGCGTTGCCTAGATTCTTCCTCTTCGAGCATGCGCAGCACGGCTGAATTTTGTAAGTTGGCAGGCTTGCTTGAGATGGGATTATGAAAGTCGATTCTAAACATGGAAAAACGCACATAAACGAATGCAGGCAGCCAAATATACATTTGTTTGCAGTATGTCTCGCCGTAGTTAAGAGTTCGCATCGTAAAATTGGTACGAATACGTAAAATCAATAAAAACAGTCGTTTGAAACGTCGGTATACACGTTGGAGTTATTTCTGAAGTAATGTGCGCCGGAAAATAGTAAAATAAAGTCATACCCGACAGCACCATTCGCAAGCATTTGGCTTTCCCTGTCCAAGATCTCTCTGACGTTCGATTCCGAGTAGAGGCCAATGGGGCTGTTGAACTGCTTATTGACGAGTCGTTGTTGTCCTGCCATTTTGTTTTCTTTGATTTTAGGCTGCTTTCCTCTACTGCCGGGGCGAGTTCGTTGATTTTATAATCGTCGCTGGAAATGCAAAATATTACATGATTAATGAAATCATAATAATAAATTTTTATTGTATCCTTGAACGCATTGATTTTGTTGGCATTGCAACGCTTTTCTAAAGTGCGTGAATCATGCGTCTATTTAAAATTATACCGTGAAACAGTGCGAACATTCAAACTTAAATAAAAATGCGATTACGATACAATAAAATATTTACATGGAAACCTAACGTGTTTCAGCTAAGCGAGACATATAAAAATAGGAATATGGTTAGTCATGCTTATAAACTACTACACGAGTATCAATTGCATCTCAATTCGTGCGAGTTGAGCACAATGCGTGTTGAAACTCGTATGATTCACATTTTTAATTTCTTCTCTGCCAAAACAAATATATATTATGTTTAGGTAAAAAAGATCGCGTTTCTGAAGTTTGGCAAGCGGAAAAAGCTCCAATACAAAGTGTGTGTTTTAAGTGTTACTTTTAGTTTGAGATTTTACGTTAAAACATGCATCACATCAGCCTCATCAATTTAATAAGTTTATTTCATGCCAAAAACTTTCGTTTTATTTATGTGAGGCAAGTTTTATGGAAAAACCACGTATGTAAAGCTCTTGTTTTTAGGTCTAGTTTTAATATAAATCTGTCATTCGTCGGACGTTCATTCGGCGGTGGTGGTGATTATTTATGGAAGTAAGAATCTTTCTTCATACGTAAATATAAACTACATTTACATTTACATTTACAAGTATTACTTAATTTAAGATTTAAAAAAACTAAATTTGTGAATTTTGATGTAATATTGGTTGCCTACCATGAATTAATGCAATACAACTAAGTTTCTCAGGTTTTATTTCGAAAAACTAAACATAACCTAATAAAAAGTATAAAATTAAGTTTTAAACCTTTTCAACAAATATTTCTGGTAAAATTATTCAAAAATCATCTTTCAACACATTTATTTCTTATTAACTCACTGAAATAGTCTGAATATTCAATTTGTCACAAATCTCATACGCACAATGCGTGGGCGCATATTTCACAGCTCGTAGTAATTCAATCTATTTTCGTTCACGGATTTTATTTTTACAAATTCCCAAAGTATCTGATTGGAACACTTATATCGCTGTATCTACACGGCAAGGTAAGTTATTTATAATATCTCTCACATATTCAAGCAAATTCAAATATTTTTTAATAATAGAATTAATTACGTTTTTTTTTCTTATAGCACACTGGGTTAAAGCAGTAATGACGCAGTTTTGAAAAGTTTTTGGCACGCAGATTGTTCGAGGCTTGCTCATAAATCATCGCCGTCCGCGTTGGTTTGTCACACAACTCACACGGCTAAATTTAATTCTTCTAACGTTTACAACAATGATTTCGAGAAGGTTTCACGCAAAACACCATAAATTCGAAAAGATTAAACGCGGGATTAAAATACCACCGAATGAAATTGATGTTTTGTTGTTTTTTTCTAGTTAATTTTATCACTGCGGTTGGCTTATAATTGTTATTGTTTTGCCAAATTGTTTACGCTCCGTTTGCTTTGATCATTACAATACTAATTAGAATTAATAATCCGTAATTTAAGCGTTTCGTTGGCGTAGTTTCTAGATTTTCATGAAATGCCTCCTGACTGGCAGGCGCAGTTGTTACCCGCACGAGAGGATAACAAAGCTGCGCCAGAAATAAGCTTTGCACACATTACTTCACATTTGCAGCGATTTTGCATAGCGCACCATCAAGGTTGTAGTAAAGCATACGCAAAACACGAAAAAAACAAAAACTGAATTCTAACTTAAAACTGTTAGAAAGTCTACGACAATGAAGTGAAACTATACACGATGATAAGTGGATGAGAATATTATACCTGTGTTCGTATTGAAAACGAGCGTGTGCGTTCGGACGCCGCTTTTCACAGATCGCTGCGAGAAACTAAAAGCGACGCCGACGACGCGCGGCTCGTGGAGCGGCGGCGAGCGCCCCGAACCCGCCGACTACGCTGATGAGCATCAGCATTTTTTTCGATCTCGCGATGTTGTTTTTTGCTGATGCATTATTCATTGCACACGGTTTGCAGCCAGAAACTTGTCAGTGTACAATCATACCGAAAACAACATAATGTAATTACGAACGCAGAATGCAGAAATACGTTGGTGTATTGAGTTGTAATTTGCACTTCAGGAACTTCGGGCTAATTTTAAGCCACGTGCAAAAGTTGCGCGCGGAGACGCACTCGAAAGCGTGCTTAAAATTAGTGCGTCGGTTAAGTCTTTTTCTCGAATGCTTGAAATTGCTTAGATATAGCTTTGAGATTGCGTCGACGTATCTAGTTATATATCTGCTAGGAACTGTGACTTGCGTAGCTTTGATATGTTCACGGAGTCGATAAATGTGTGCGAACTACGTGGAAATGTCTGCGACATGATTTAACGTAGATTTAAATATTTATATTTAGTTTTACGAGGCATTTGTATAGGAGAAAAATTGTACCATGTGCAGATTAACAATATTATCATTATTTTCCGCAACCAACATTACACAATTATAAATTTTACTGAAATTTGTCTGCAACCAATATTACACATAATTTTTTACAAGATTTTCTTTTTCACTTTATGAATTTTTCAAATATTTGTTTGAATTTTATATTTTTTAGCACCCAGTATAATTTTCTCATATTTAACCAGTCGCTTCAATAGATTAAAACAATAAATCCATTCTCATCGCAACACTTGCGCTGCTCAGCCACGTAAGAAGTTAAAAATAATAAGTTTATTTTGCTTCACCTGAAAAACTAAAAACCTGGTTATTTTTGACGTTTAACAGCATCTATCAGCCACGTATCGCATACTCTTATCGGCATCGGGAATGTTACAAGTTAAAAATATGATAAAAATAGGTCAGTGTGTTATATTTACAAATTTCCTCATTAATTTTTGACTAATATAACATTACTGATCCTCCTAAAATTTGCTTTGCGACAAAATCGTTGTATTAATCACTCGTGGCTTTTACTTCAAAATTTTAATGTAAATTAATGTTTTTGAGCGTTTAGAATGCTTAAAACAACACAGGTGTACATACAACACGCGGCAATAAGTTTTTAATACCTTCTCGTTCGTTTATATTTAGCTAGTGTTTTTGTTTGTGGTTTCAAAGCTAAAAATAAATAAGATTCAATGTGAAGTTTAACTGGCTACGTGTGCGATCTAGCGGTGAGTTTTTAAAACTTTGAAGATAAACACAATTCCTGTAAGAATATGTTTTCTTCGTAAATTCTTAAAGATTAATTGTTTGGACTTATTTTACTCACATCAAACATCAAATAATGATAAACGATTACATAAAATAATAAAATACTAAATCTTTGATCTATTTACACTTGTTTAGATTTGTTTAGAGTTGCTTGTTGAGTAGGTTGTTATACTCATGTTTTACTCGTGTGTAGAACACTTTGGGTTGCCTATATCAAGACAATATACTGGATTTAATTACAAGAACTTCTTCGAGACGGCGTTTGCCTTAAAACAACAGAACTAACATAGAAATTCTTCTGAACAAAATTCTCTTAGAATCCAAAGTAAAATATGATGTACTGTTTTAAAAATAAAATAAAACTGGTATTGATATTACCGGTTATCTGTTGAGAGGTTATGTCATTAAAGCTACTTATTATTTAAGTATTCATATAAATGACTTTAAAAAATACTTTTCCAGTAATATGTGACTGAATTTTAACACTGCACAAGTTGGAATTTACTATGTATGTTAAAATAAATACGTTTTCCTCTGTGACATCGTTTTTGTGCGATGACATCACTAAATCATAGCAATAAAAAAATGCGATAAAAATGTTGCTTTTTATGTGACAAATTTTTAATGTGCAATAAATGTCCAATCAATTTGGCATAATTTACGAAGCAACCAAATATTTCCAATCGCGTGCAGCACAACCTAACCACATTTAATAACACCATTCACAGCATTAAAAAAAAACGAAAAAGATGAAATTACTACACAAAGAGTTCAAATTTTGTTTCATCGCATACTTCTTGGTCTTCTCTATACGTAAAGTTGCGCATTTCATAACATCCATTCGTAAATTGTGTAAATTCAATTTATATTTAAATTTACACCGGCAGCGCAGGCTCGTAAAGCGTTATCTTGGAATCTAAAGATCATTAGTAAATGAACCGAAATGAAATGACCCAGATGGCCCATTTCCAAATGATTAAATTAGACGAGCGTTCGACGTCTTCGCTCTCCGAAGAGTCTGCGCGAGTACACACAACTGTGCGCGCTGTGTATCTCTGCCAAAAACGAGTGCAGACGAACACCAATCATAGAGGATACTAGGCCATAACGCCGGTGAAACATGCAAAGAATGTGAATTTATTAAAGCGACAAATTTACCGAAAACCGAAACACAGAGAAACACATTCATCAGCCATCAGCCAAAATAAATCTAACCTAAAAAAATATTTTTACATTTTGCACACTGAAAATATTAACAAATTATTAAATAATTATTTGTTAATGATTATGATGATGATGTTTCATCGGATGCTTGCGTTTCTTATTGCGTATCCTCGGCGGCAATAAGCCTGTAGCATTGATCGTATTTAAGGTTATGTTTAACGCCAGCAAACTAGGCGGGATTTCAATGCCAGCCTGTGCAACATCGCAGTCCTTCTGGCCCATGTCAAACATATACTGCAAGTCAATATCATACCGTGGAAGTTTGTCCCGGAGATAAGAGATGACGTTGACGCCCAGTGTCGCTTCACGACTCATAATAAAACTTGATAAATAACGTGGAGATTTGGACTTTTCTGCACAGTGCATCAACAGTGCCCAGGAGGTGTAATCAGAGTCCAGGACGTATGTATTGTATACTCCTTCATCTAAAATTTAAAAAATTAAAAACTGTTTTAAAAATTATTTTTTTGCTTACAAGTGTCTTCTGAATGTGTCCAATGTGCAGGCTGTTCCATATCCGGGATATTCCATGTGATATTACCAATCAACTGCTCATTAAGTGGATCATCCGTGAAGCTGTAAGTGAAGTTCATGGTCACGTCCAGGAGTTGTTTCGACATGGTGAAATCAGCTCGCATACAGCGATAGGACAATGCTTCCTCTGAGCTTGCATAGTATTCGATGATGTACCATGGACCTAAAAGCTATAGGCAATATCACAACATCAATACATTTGTTTTCTTTCTGTTTGTGGGAGAAATTAATGTTTGGACATGCTGTGAATATGTATTTTGTTAAGAATAACATAACCGAGATGTTGTTTAAGCTAAGATAGCTGTGAATGAATAATTAATGGGATCGCCGATGCGTGAAATTCTGCGCAGGCGCAGTCAACAATACGTCGTACTCCTGCTTTTCACTACGCCACCTAAGGTGCGACCCAAACACTAGTATAGGTAATAATAATATGTTATTTTAGCACGAATTGTAACACGAAGCGCGAACACTGCTTAATAAGCTTAGATGCTAATAACTATATAATAATAGATGACGTCTATCTTATCTTAACAACCGACAAAGGAGTTATTTTTTGCGTGTTCTATAACAGAATGAATAAGTGTGAAATGGGTTGCCTATAGTGTAATTAATACTTGTCTAGTGTTTCTCACCCCTTCAAGATCAAAATTCCGGATTGATTTCACATTTGGACACTTTGTTTTAATTTCAGGACGTTTTTTAAATCCACCAGAGATGAAAGATGATGTTGTGGCACTGATGAACAGGAATAGTAGACAAAATTGTATCGCGCACATTTTCACTGCGCGTTAGTTTCAAGTACAGTGAGCATTTTTGACTGAATTGAATTTCTGAGGAAGTTTGCGAGTGGAAACCAAATGATAAGAGCTTCCTATTCCATCCAAACATCCCACACAATAATTTATCATATGTATACATTAATATATACCAAGTGTTTGAAATATTTTCTAATATTTTAAGAAAAAAACTTAAATAAATGAAAATTAATAAGTTTTCATACAATTTTCTCATAAAACTTTGTTTTTTAAATTGAGAACTAAATTTATCATTAATAATTTATTGTTATTTTGTTAGTAAACTTATTTCTACTGTAACAATTAGTATAATGATTAAAAATTCTCAGAAAATGTGATAATGTCTCATTATTTATCAACGTTTATTTGCATGTAAATAAATTTCATCACAACGATAATATTACCCAGTTATATTGTCGTTTTTCGACTAAACGACTATAACATTTAATCACAGTTTAATCTGCTTGGTGTTCATGTTTACGCTCGTTTGCGCATCGTTCGCCAGTTTTTGCGCTGTGCTGACCGAACGACCTGCCGAAAAACTAATAATCCATAACCAGCTCAAATATAGTTGTGGTTATGCATTATTAGGTTAGTAAGTGAGCTCGTAAATAAGATTATCTTCGCTTTTTCGTTCGTTTGCTTCTTTGCTCAGGCAATTTGTGGCGCGTTACGTACACCAACGAATCAAGACAATGTATAAACATATTGCGGACTAACAAGTGTAATGATGCTAATCGATTATACGTGATTTTTTAGTTTTTACAATGTTTACTCATCGATTTAAGTTGAATTAAAAATAAAATCTTTCATTTGATTTGTTTGGGGTTTATTTTTGTGTAAAATGTATAGACAACCCATTTTACATCATTTTGACAATGTCTAAGTTTTTATTGTGGTTAAAAGTAAAGAAATTGATGTTTTTGAGTTTAATTTTGCAGGAATTCGTTAATTCGTCTGTCAAATCATGAAATAATCTATAAACGAAGAAAACAATGAAGTTTTCAAGTATGTTAATTGTTTATACGGCATAATAAGGTAATAAATACCAACTTTTCATCATGAAACTGTATTTTATTAGTGTTTTGCCAAATATAAGTGATTTTAAACTTTGCAATTGATTTTATACAGTTATTATTTGACTTCATCATCACTTATCCCTACTAATATTATAAATGCGAAAGTCCTGATGTTTGTTACACTTTGACGCAAAAACTACTTAACCGATCATCATGAAAATTTGTACACATATTCTTAGTGGTCCCCGAATGGTTATAGGCTCCTTTTTATTAAAAAAAAAATTATTTTTTAAATAAAATAAAGAAATTGTTTAGCCAATAATACCACTGCATCTGGCTATTTGACTACTTTAACGCCATCTAGCATTCCAGCAATGAAGCTCAAACCTATGTACTATAGTACCATCACACTGTATTATCACACTGTATTACCCACAGCTACGTCAACATCAAATCCAATTCACTACACTATGGAGACTGTACACTATGCTTCCATAGACTATACTTTCAGCCATTTTAAATTTCCCGCCATTCTACTTCATTGTTACTTCTTCTGTGATTACAGACGCGTACGGAAGCAATTTCATTATTTTAGATATTCGCGAACGAAGCCGCGGGTTACAGCTGGTTACTAATAAAAGAACCAAAATTCAAATAAACTTCCACTTTGCAATAAATTTCAACGAGTTAAAAGCATAAAATATCATCCTGCCATACAGAATGTGACACAGTTTATTATAAAATATAGTTATCAAACATGAGCATTAAATTCCAATCGAATATCCGAGCGTGAGTCCATTAGACGTTTTTGCGCGATTAGTCATCACATCACCACCGGCATGATGATGATCATCATGGGCCGTTTCGATGTTATTGGCACACCGCACACGAAACGTACAATTTGCAGGTGTGAATCGAAATCGGTTAGATTGGTTCCCTCTTCAAATATATTAAATGGCCGCAAATCGACGCTGGAAATTTAAACGAATTTAATCGTTTTGCAATGCTAATTCCGCGCTCGTAAAACTACATAACTATTTTTACAAGCATACCGGCAACCAAACAAGCACAATACGAGCGCAAACGGAATAAGCAATAAACGCGCGTGTCAATCGTGAATAATAAAGTGGTAGAGGTTTATAATGCCGCCGGAGTTAACAATAGGCAATAAATTCATTTTTGCGGTGTTTGTTTGCGTATAATTATTTCCTCCATCGTAGAAAATTTAATTGCACATAATAATTATTTTCTAACCTCAAAAATTTTTCATAAATTTCTATAAGTGATTAATGATGATTAAACTCTTGTATTTTGTACAAATTATAGGAGCGAAACAAAATAATAATTAAGTTTAATTTATCAACGATTATCGCGCGTTTATCATCTCATCAGAACCTGCGCGTAGATGCATTTGAAGTTTGATATTTGAAAGAAAGTACAGTTTTATCTGCTCCAATTTTTAATGAAATAAAAAAATGTTAATTAAATGTGCAAGCCGGACTTTTTCCGGTCCATCGCTGATGCTGTTACATTTTTACCTCGTTCACGCTTTTCGAAGGTCGGCATCAACGCAACACACAATTCTAAAGTTGTAAAAATTAAATTAATGCTTCATATGTGTGTTTAGCTTTAAGTTCCATGAGTTCCATCGCTCCAAAAACCCAAAGATGTTATTTTTCCGATACAGTTACGCACTGAAAGAGGAACAGAGATGGATTTTAACTCATTTACAAATAAATGTTTTTATATTTAAGCTGTACTTGTGTGAGATGCGTACCTGATAAATTAGAAGACTGCTTTATTTATTGCCGATCGGTGCATCAGTAAATCTTGCATGTAACTCGCCGAGCTTCCCACATTAAACATTAAACATGAGCGCAGTTTCGGTATCTGAACGGCGCTTTGCGTAATGGGCTAGCAATTAATACGGAAATTTATCTGTGTGCGTTCGCCGCACGCCTCTTCTGCCACAATTACATATATTATTTAAGAGGATTATCAAAAGCACGTAAATTAATTTTCGATTTGTGTCAAAATTTTACTCCAAGAAGCTACGTTATATTCACTTAAATGATGGTCTCTGTAACCAAGGCAGGCAACCCATTTAACATGAAAATTTAAAATTTGTTAATTTGTGTGTTAAATCTTTAAATAACAAAAATTAAATGCATGTGAATAATATAGTAACAAGTATAAATCATATAAAAATATATTTTCTTGTATTTTTTTTGCTTAGAGCACTTAATAATGGTATAAATACCAATTTATTGATTCATAGCTCGGATATTCGAGCTATGTCTGTGTAGCCAAAGTAGGCAACCCATTTTACATGAAAATTTAAAATTTGTTAATTTGGGTGGTAAATCTTTAAATAACAATAAATAAATGTATGTAAATAATATAATATCGAGTCTAATGCTTACAAAACTATATTTTCCTATATTTTTATTGTTTAAAGCATTTAATAATGGTATAAATACCAATTTATTGATTCATAGCCTATCTGTGTTTTATTAAATATTAATGGCTGCATTAACTGACAGTTAATGTGCGGCGTACGTGTAGTTTACGAGTGCGCTCAAACACTTAACGCTAGAATCAACCAAAGAATACATATTTTATGCGCATTGTGCAACACGTTTTGATAAAACGCTATATTTACGATCGCGCATTCAAGGAAGAAGCGTCGAAAGGATCGGAAACGATCGAAAACGATCGAAAACGAAAGATAAGCACTGATCGCAGCTATGGCTAAAAGTTTCACAAGCGAAACATTAATTACACTCAAACGCTTACCTAATTTATTTATGAATACACGACCTCAAAGGTTGTGAGTTATGACAAACATAATTTTAAAAAATAAAAAACGATTCCTTCATTTACGCACTATAATAGTATGTGTTGCTAAGTATGCAACACATTATACAGCATATGTCGCGTTGCTTAAAATGAGGCGTAATAATTGAAATCTAGTAAACAGGACGTGCGCTTGCAACTGAATATCTCAGCGGTGATAAACTAATCAATTAGCACGTACGTGTTACATCAGAATCGAGGTTGTGAGTTCAAATGTTTTCGATTTTCGGCCGTCTGCTTCACACGCACGCGCAAACATACTCATGCAAAGGTAATACATAACCAGTGATTGCTTACAAATAGTTTACAAAGATGATCGGTGCTAAAATCACAGCACGACCCTGATGCGCATAAGCGCACGTTTCCGCCATTGGTGTCATTGTCATGTGCAATGCAAATCGCCGGTGACACAATAGCGGAATTCGGCGATTCGGCTCGAATACGTAAGAGTCGACACCTATGGCCGCGAGGTGGTCAGTGGAACACCTTACGCATCTCATCCATTCAATGCGCTTGCTCCGCGGCACAGAATCAGCTCGCTTTGGAAAGCAGCCGTATCGTCAATCGGTCGGCCGGCCGCCGGCATGATGTATGATGTACGCAACCAAATCTAAACAAGGCCAAGGCTTTTTGACTCGACGGTGTAAAACTATATTTTATGTTTATCGGTATTGAAAGGTAACGTAACATTTTTCCAATCAATATTATTGAATAAAGTCTTTTGTTTCATATTAAATTTAGTATAGGCAACCAATTATGCACCAAACGAAAAATGACAGTTATATAACAGCAAATAAAAGAAAAAATGATAGCAAAGTGCTTTATAAACAATATTTTATATTGAAATAGCAATAAAACACTTTGTTTTAATGCAAAAAAGTAGTTTCAAGCAAAATCAACGTTTTAAAATTTACAATTCAAATGCAAACAGCAAAAACGTTTTGAAAACATCAATTTTACATTTGAACTTGTTAAATTTTGCCCATAAATCGATGATATCATTAGTGTTTAAATATATACGTATATATATTTGAGTTTTTTTTTATATTCTTGATCAGTTCGCAAAAAGTAGAACACGTAATACAACATAACTCTTCCACTTCTTCTTCTTCTTCTTCTTCTTCTTCTTCTTCGTGCGTTCCATTTGCGTGTCTTCTTCTCAC